TAAATGAAAGTCAAATGAGGAAATTGATAAAACAGCTATCAGTTAAAAGTGTATTTTAGTTAAATTACCAGCTTGTCTTTACAGTACTTCAGCAGAGGCTATCCTTTGGTATAGATATAAGGAATTACCTATCTGCATGTAAATCCCACTAAAAAATATGAAATAAATGAATCTTTAAATTGTACCTAGTTAAAATTTTTATGTTGGAGACAAATTAACTGATTTATTTAGCACATCCTCAGAAAACTTTTGGGTGGCTTTTTTTTTTCCCCCCCCAAAAAAACCCTTCTCAAGTGTGAAAGTTTAAATTTTATTATATGGTCCTTAAAAGAACACTCTGCTAGACAGAAAATAGAAAACTTCTTTTCAGAGAAATATAATTTGAAAATTCTGCTTCTTAATACAAATGACAAGACACTCTTGCATTCTGGAAGCTTGGGATTATTTATGCTTTGTGACTTTCTGTGTGTACTTTGTTGATGGCTCAACAGATGCATAAACAGAGCATTAAATTAAAAAATAGTGTGTCTTGGATGTTGCCAGGGTAATACTATAAAGAAAAATAAAATAAGGAAAAACAGGGTAATTGTCAAAACAGTTTTTAAGATCTTTTCAGCTTTTTTAGTGTTCTCTCTTTAGGGAAAATGCCGGCCAGAATGCAGTTCAACTGCTAGGCAAAGCAAGCAACTAATTTCTCATTAGCAAGCCTTCCTTGGGTTCTGGAAGAGACATTAAGTACTTGCATGCTTGTGTTGATGTCCCCTTCTTCCCAGAAGTGGTCAGTGTCAGGTTCTGGATCACCAGCCTGTCCTCAGCCCAAACGCTGGACCCTAACAAAGGGCCTTACCCTTTGCTGTGATTTGTGAAGTTGGTTTCTCCCTCTCTGACATTTGAATAAATTGGGGTGCAAATGAGGTCATTTTTAACAAGTGTCAATTTGGAAAAGTCCCACATAAGCCATGCAAAAAAACAGCGACAGTAAGTCTGTGGTGTCCCACCCTCTTCTCACAAAATCAGAAATACAAGAGAGACCATAGGGAAGATGTTATGAAAGCTTGCTGGCATGTTAAAGTCTCAAGTTACATGTTCCCAGTTGTTAAACCTGTCCCAAGGTTCAGTACTAAATAAAAGCAAAATAGGTAAAACACTGTACTCATCAACATTGTTCACTGTTCATGCACTAATGATCCGTAAAAATAAAAAACCCCTTACCCTAGATAAATGATGAACAGAATGCTACGTGATTTTATTATGACAGAAAATGTTACTTTAAAGTTTAGCAAGTTCTAAACCTCTTTCATTCTAAAACTAATCTATGAGATCTGTGTGTTCATATTTTATTCTCTCTCACAATTTCTACAGCATTTTTATTGATCCCTGTGACAAGGTGTGCACAAAGTTTCCAATCTTTCTCCCATGGGATAGCAGTCCTGTCTAATTTTAAACACCCACCTAGCTGGAACACCACAAAGCCAATAATTACATTGGAATCTCCACATCCCAAACAGAAGAAGATCCAAGTGGATAGACACACGTGTGTGCATTTTCTTCCAAGGAATGCTACTGACCACTTCAGAAGCGAGCTCTTGGGCTCACCCTCCACATATTGTGTGCTTCTGTGATTTGAGAAGCCCAGGTTCCAGCCCTGCTCCCTCTGCCAGCAGGAAGTGGTTTCCCTGCAGGGAGAGGGAGTGCTCCGCTCTTC